AAAATCTTGTATCGGCGTCATTCTTCAATTGGCCCCTCAGATTCACATGACCGCCTCGTCACAAAGACCCAATGTTCCATAGGCAGAAAATAGCTTGGTGACGAACGATGGTGTCTTACGGCCTATCATTGTCCAACACATAGAAACATCAGGAGCTATTTATAACGTCTCTTCTCCACTGAGCTGAAGGTAATGCCTGTCTAAAGGAATATCTCTCTGCCTGTTGCCATGGAGCCCAGTGTCGATGACATCACGGGATGAGGACGAAGATGAAAGTGAGTCACGGGGAACAAGATCAGGAGACGTGTTGTGGGGTTGGGGGCGGGGCTGGGGGGTGAAAAAGAGAGAAGCAGGGAGCGTAACCACAGGCTGTATAGTAACACAGATACAGTAGTAGATTGATATCACACACACGTTTAACTATCCTTGTGGGGACCAAACAATTGATTCCCATTCAAAATCCTATTTGTGGGGTGGGGGGGAGAAATGTTTTCAGTTTTAAAGCTAATTCCCTGCAATTCTACACATTATGCATGCCATGACTAATGCCATGTTAATGATATCTGAGTGAGAGTGACTAACAAAATCAATGGGGGCCTCCTGGAGGTCAGGGCCCCTGGGCCATGATTACTACAAAAATAGATAGCTGGCTAAACCAACTTCCCAATAAACACATTTTTTTCTGACATGGCTAATTGACTGACTGTCATGCTAACTTTGCCACCGCTGCAAATAATATATAATCATTCGGGAAATACTGCGTGCGTCTCTCACACACACACCACAATGTGTTACGTAAAGAGAGAACATCCACACATTATCAACAGGTCCTCTGATTGGTAATAACAGGAGAACTGATAAGATCAGGGTTGATCAGCTGTGGACAGTTTCCAGGCTTTGCCTTTGGAAAGTGACATTGAAGCTGTGACATGAGAAGGAGAAATTGATCAGTGCTGTATCATATAGTATCTCAATTGGTTTTGAATTGCTAATAACCACATTGATGCTGTGCCCTGACTATAGACTCCAATCAACTGTGCTCTATATGGGCATGCAGAAGTGTGTGTTGGTGCTCCCCTGGGTTGTAATACAAACACTGTGTAGACTGAAAGCAAACATTGCAGATTGTGTGTGTGTGTACAGCACCCCATGGTGACTTGGAGGTGGCAGCCAGACAGAGAAAGTGTGGCTAGTTTAACTATGTGGCCGGTCCAACACAGCCACCACCGGGACCACACCAAACTGACAAGCCCGTCTTCTCTCTCCTGTGGCCAGCTGCTTCATACAGATACCAGACACAGTAAACAAAGAGTGAATGCTGTACAGTTACAGGCAGCACAGGAATAATGTGTCCATTGTTCTCTGTCACACCACCACCTCGCTCTGTTCTTCAGCGTTACCCATTCATTAACAGTGTCACTATTGTTTTACAGTGTTTCACACTGCAGCAGCCAGCCGCCTCTGAGTTTATCTTTTTGGGGTGCTAAAAATATACCTCCCCCCAACCGTGGTACCCATGGGAGCCAAATCCCTGAGCCCCGCTTCACAGAAATACATTTTCCTCCCTCCTTCTGTCATATTGTAATGACAGTTAAACTATGCAAATGTGGCTTTCACACACAGACACGCTGGCACAGGGATGTGCACGCATCTATAGATGCAAATCAGCATGTCTATCATGTGCACACATTATGCAAAGGATGGTGCCTGACCCAGCCCTTAGAGAGTTCTTAGAGAATGGAGATCCCCGGGTAGAAGACAATCTGTCCAGGGATGGATGGATGGATGGAGGAAGTAGTGAACGCTCCACAGCGTTGAAGGGTGGCCGTTAAGGGGTATCTGTGCCAGTCCAATGCCTCCTCTGCTCCCCTGAGGTGGCCCAGATCTGACTTGTTTCTGGGATAACATCTATGACCAATACAAATATGTATCAGCTAATCTTAACAAGCTCACACGATATGGAAACTGAATAGGTGTGTCTCACACACGTCAATTCAACGTCTAGTCCACGTTGGTTCAATGTAATTTCATTGAAATGACGTTGGAAACAACGTTGATTCAACCAGTGTTTGCCCAGTGGGAGGTTACTGAGGAGATTCACCATAGAGAACCTCATCTCTCATGACAGGCTGTTCTGGGTCGTAAGGTTGTAAAGAACCTGTAAACTACATGAAAGGTTATAAAGAACCTGTCAACCACATGAAAGCATTTTGTTTCCCCCGAAAACCCAAACCAACAATAGCCCTGCAGGGTAATCTGGCTAATGAGATTAGAGAAACAAGATAATGGGGTAGTGATTTTTTATGTCATTATGACCAAACATGTCACTATGGCCACTGACCAGACACTCTGCCTCTCCTCAAGTCACCCACAACCCAATGACAACAGGCTGTCAATCATTCAACACCCAACAACAGTAGCACCACACTCCATACAGCTGTATATTCAAATAGACAGGGAAATGCCACTGGAGGAGAATAATCTAGAGACAAAGAGAATTGTCTCCAGTTTGCCAGTTTCATTGATCACACACACACAATGATGTGATGTGTTTTGCATGCGTTTGTGCCAAACACTCAAGAAACACTTTCATTTCTAAAATGTTACACTATGTTAAAGTAAAAAAGTTAAGGAACACAGACACTGGGAATTAGCATGGTGGGAATCCAAATAAATTGCTATGTTATACTGTTTCACAGTGAAGTGTGTCACACTGTGTGAAGTAAAACAAAAGCGAAACCGAAGCATTCATTTTGGGGTTTTCCCCAGCTAACTGGGCATGGCAGCCAGTCAGCATGTGACATCACCGTGGCATAAAGAAACAGGATGGTAAGACATAAAAATGAAGATGACATAAGGATGACTACGTGACATAAGGATGACTACGTGACATAAGGATGACTATGTGACATAAGGATGACTACGTGACGTAAGTCGCTCTGGATAAGAGCGTCTGCTAAATGACGTAAATGTAAATAAGGATGACTACGTGACACAAGAATGAATACATGAGGATGAATAGAGGAAATGCTCAAACTCACCTGCTGTAAGTTAACTCCCTCCCCCTTTTCACCAACTGTAACTCAGGAGAGGAGTGAAGAAGCCACAGCTTCACTGAATGGTTTATAAAGGTTTTTTATTAGCAAAATACGGGAATGAGTCTACCAAGGCTCCCCATCTGTTGGAGAACACACACAGACAGCGGTGGCAGTTTCTTGAAGGTTACAGACCATAACCATGTGTTTGCTCCCCATCCATTTTGACTTTGCTTTACAATTATGATTCTGCAGTGATCGCAGAGACCAAGTCCCCGAAGCCTCCTTAAATAAATCTTAAAATATACAGTAAAATATGACTCCGGTTTAGCTATTCTTTAATTCTGCAGCATAGTGTAAGCTCCTTGACCTAGCTAGTGTTCTCATTGGATACACATTGGATATGGTGTACTGTTAAAAACCGCATCCCTTTCCAGGTACAGGTACACATTAGTATGGGACAGCCTGTGGGCGGAGCTGTGTTGGTCACCACTAAATTGGCCGGGAATGTGCACATTAGAAGATAGGGTTATTAACAAAGGAAACATTTCACCTTTTATGTTGGAACGATTTCAGCAGGCAAAAAAACTAGAAATGTGTCAAGAGACCGCAGAGAAAAAGGTACCAACAAACTGAGCTCAAATCAAATCCTTTTCCCCTAACAATTGGGAAGGGAGAAAATGAATATTTCCACCAAAAGGCAAGCTTCCTTTTCCAGAGAGGGCTTAAAAAAGGAACAAACAAAATAAAACAAGCTTCTTCCAAAAAAGAAAAAAAAATTGTGAAAATTGTTTTACAAATGATACAAACATCCTACAGAAATGTTTAAACACTAATTCTAAATGTCCCAAGACAAAAACATAAATACATTAGTTAAAAGTGGCTTATAGTACAGCAATGGTCCATAATTGATTCTCCCCACTCAGATTCTTGTGATCTTCTCCCCGAAAATGAACATTATGCTGGCTTTTCGCTGCCTAGAGAGAGAGAGAGAGAGAGACACCATTAGATCTTATTGTCTGCTTGGCGGTACAAAGGCCGTTCCATGAAAATATCCTGAAAATATTGTTTGACCATGACATTATCATCTCCCAAACATCTTAACGGAGCAGAAAATCGAATTAAGCTCCCGAATAAAGAGGGCCTTCATTTCAACTGATTAGATTACAAAAGCATTTGATTATGAAAGGATTAAACTGCATCTCCAAGGCAGCCTTGGAAGCAGCGCAACTTGGAACAATTCAAACACGTCAACTGATTTTAAAACGTTTGAAGTTGGATGCCAATCGTCAGGAGGTAGAGATACACACAACAAACAACAACAAGAGCTTTTGTGGATAACTCTCAACATCTGGGAAAGCTAGCATACTAGTCTAGCACACTGGCAATGTGGACAATACAGCTGCCTGTCTGAAACCGCCCCTGGCTATGACTGCAGCATGCTAGAGTTTCACTATATTGCCATGACTACAGCATGCTAGTGTAACAGAGGTCAGTGTGCTGCTAACAGTTTGGCTTCCTCCACTGTCCCTGTCCCCATACTGGGCTCCAACCAGTGATCCTCTGCTCCGCAACCCTCGTGACCTCCCACCTTGACATCGTACCAACCGTCTGAGCTATCGAAAGAGATCTAATTCGATAGCTCCATCTGTGACATCTCAAGTTCGATGTGGAGTGAGCATACGGTCCGTTTTTAAGACTAACACTAGCACTGTGAGCACTCATGCAGCCACCAGGCAGACGTGTGCCCTCAACCATGTAGCCCCAACATTGATCCCCCAGCGCTCTACACATATGGACACCAGTTCACAAGTCTGCAGTGTGTGTGGGGGGGGGGGGGGGGCTGCCTGTGTAGCACAAGGAGAAGCGATGAGAAGGGAGAGAGAGGGAAAGATCGACAGAGAATGGGAACGAAAAAAAAGGTGGGCTCACCAGAAAACTTCCATCGATCAAATCTAGGTCTTAGAAGAGTCCACAGTCCTTCAGGTTGTTCTTGATGATGACGTCAGTGACGGCGTCGAAGACAAACTGCACGTTCTTGGTGTCGGTGGCGCAGGTGAAGTGGGTGTAGATCTCCTTGGTGTCCTTCCTCTTGTTCAGGTCCTCAAACTGACACTGGATGTAGGCCGCAGCCTCCTCGTACGTGTTGGAGCCTGGCCGCAAGACAAGAAAAACACCACATTTCTCATGATTTTCCTCATAAGGGGGGAATCTCAACATCTACTTCAGTCATTCTCACGAAGTCATGAATATATGTCAATAGGAGGCTAAGTGAGAATTCAACTGAAGTGCAAGTTAGAATTCGTCCCATAGTTAAGACCGTACATATACAACAAACATATTTGCCATCCATACAAAATAAAACAGTGAACCAACTATGAGACACAAACATCAATTTGTTATTCTCCCCCAGTTTAGACAACAGAATTCCACAGGAAGTGACCTCATGGGAATTGTGTTGAAATGGGATTCCCCCTGTGGTATTATGGAGGAATAGGTGACAGAGAAACACTGTATCCTGCCTCTTGGCTTTCCGCTATTTGTTTTGTTCTCATTGGTCTCTTTAAAAGGTAGAAGTGACTAATGTCTGTTGAACGTTTCCTGTCACAACACCGATGCTGTGAAACATACCATCTCCATATGTTCAGTAACTACAGTATATTTCCAGAGCTATAGGTTTATTTGAGATCCTCTTTCCACTCATGTAGACATTCAATTATATTTGTTCAGGTGTGCAAATGACAAAGAAATCACAGAAAATATACAAACAACTCCATTCATACATCACACAGTTCTTCCCAATCATTCTATAGACAGTCTACCATGGCTGGCTGGCTGTTACTGTACCTGCGTATTCTGGGTAACATATAGTTAGAGGACTCTTCTTGATCTTCTCCTCAAACAGGTCCTTCTTGTTGAGGAAGAGGATGATGGAGGTGTCTGTGAACCACTTGTTGTTACAGATGGAGTCAAACAGCTTCATGCTCTCATGCATCCGGTTCTGGGGAGAGAAGACTGCAACATTGAACAATGGTTTTTTGTGGGGCTTTGAGCTACAGGCCTTCATCTGCACTGATCTGGAAAAACGGCACAGCTGAAAGCAAACACCTGCTAGGACGTCCACCATTTTTGCTTTATCCTATGTTTTCAGATCAATGCAGAAAAAGGAAAGGAGTTGAGGAGAGAAAGCCTCTTTAGACTATCGAGATATACCCAGAAACAGTTTCACAGACCCAGAGGTAATCTTAGTCCAGGACTAAAATGCATGTTCAATGTAAATATTCTATTGAGAACACATTTTTTTGTTCAGGACTGGTTTCATACAGATATACATGTACTCTTATTTAATGTCCATGGTTGGACAGGAACTCACCATCTCCTCATCCTCAGCCAGCACCAGGTCATAGTCGCTGAGCGCCACACAGAAGATGATGGCAGTGACGCCCTCGAAGCAGTGGATCCACTTCTTCCTCTCTGACCTCTGACCTCCAACATCAAACATCCTGAGGAATAAGTGGCGGATAATGCACCAGACAATGTAAACGGAGCATGTTTCCAGGCACGTAGCACACAACACAAACAACTTTATTGGACATTGGCCACTAGGGAAAATGTACATCTGTGGCCTGAGGCTTTGGGTTTAAGTGTTAGTTGGTTAAACAGGCCACCAGGTAGAAATGAGAGAGAATACATGAACTTTTCTTTTTGTGGAGGCTTTTCTGTGTTGTGGAGAGATGGTATACAGTAGAAATGCTCAACACAGAATAAAATATTTAGAAGGGAGGGTATGAAACTTAGTTACTTTCAACGTTTTTGTATTTTAAAAGAACATATTATTTTTTATATCCTTACAAATGTGCACTTTGAGCTGTATATCCCATTAAGTCAACCCAAGGTCACCTGCTTTGTGAGCCAGTTTCCACCCATAGGCACACAGAGGGCTGTGGGGCTCTAATGTACTCAGATATGGTTTGCGTTGGAATGGCTCCACATAGTTCTCTCTGCTGAGTTGCACTGAGTGGCTTGGCTGAACAAACTGATGAGAACGAGCATTTTTAAAGGGCTTGATACCCGATTGGACGTGGTGTGGGGGACAGCCGTGAGAAAACAGCCAAATGTGCAGTGTTGGGGAAGCTACTCTGAAAATATAGTTTACCAAGCTTCCAATTACTTCACACTGGAAGAAGTTAAGCTACACTAATGCTACCCTTAAGGAAAATATAGTTTACTTAAATAAAGTTACTTTGAAAAAGTAACTACTCCGTGAAAATGTATCATATGTAAATCTGAAATGTCATAGACTACAAATTGCAAGAACATATCACTTTGGGGTCATATGCTACCAGAATGTGTAATTTAGTCCCCAACACTGCAAATATGGGTATTGACCAGTGAGCCAACCGTTTCCCTTTCCTCTCTGGCATCAGCCAATTGAAGACTAGAACAGATATGATTCACTGCTGATGTCGTATGGTCAGCTCTGTCATCCAGTCACAATGAAACCACTGGACTAAGGACATTTCTATGGGTTTGAGAGATTCAATATGCACAGTAGGGAAGTAGATTGAGTCATCCTATTTAACGTATGATATTTGACTACACTTAAAAAGGGATTTGGAGGAAGTGCTCACTTAAAGTGGAGGTCCTTGAAGGTGAAGTGTGTCTCCACAATGCCTGTGGTTTTGACTCTGGTCCTCAGGACATCCTGCTGGGTCGGGATATAGGTAGCTTGGGATATCCTGTCCAAATCGTTTAAGTAACTGGAGAATGGGGAGAGAGAGAGTTCAGATGGGAGTCAATGCATCCAATATACATATTTCAATGGAACAATAGGACAATAGCTATTCAAATAATAAACATATCTTGTTTGGCCATGAACCATGTCTGCTTCTACATCTTGAACTGAGAACAACAAGTGACATTATTTCCACTCTCTCCCAACTATCAGTGCTCCTCTTGTTGCCTCAGAATGCCCAGACAGTCCAGGTTATGAGACTGCGTAGATAAAAAGGAGACAGGCTATAAATGATCGTGGTGAAAAGCCATCATCCGCTCCACCTGGGCTATATCCATTACTCTATCCCAGCCTGCCCAGTCTCTTCCAGCTATGTAAGGTCCCACTAAGCCAGTCTGTCCACAAATTGTCCACAGTTCTGGACTTGTTTGGAGTCAGGACCCAAACAGACAGAGACACCCGGGACATGGGTCCGGAGTGGGGACACACACACACACACACTGCCCCCCCCCCCCCATATTTATCTTCCAAAAGATTACGGCACCAGCAATTACACACGACTCAGCAGCACTGGTGTTTCAACCCAAACAAACAGCAGAGATCGGGGTCAGCAGCCTAGCTGTTGAGGCCCGTCGGGAGGCTACGTGACCATGTGACGCTGGTCTGTGTGTGTGTGAGGTAGCCTTGGCCAAAAGGATTCTGGGTATTTATTTGGAAATGGAGAGCAGCTGCGGCACCAGAGGCCAGAGAGCCAATCAGTGACGTCTGTTCTGTTCCAAAACAAGGTGGAGGGGTTTCTCATGACACACCGCAGGGGCTGCCCCTCTGGTGACTTCACTGGCTAATGGAAAGGTTCTTGCACAATGCGTACGAAAAAAGAACAACCACTTCAGAAAAAACAACTGAACCGAGGGGGTTTAGAGCTCAAACACTGCCCACTGACTGAAAGGGATTTGGACATGCTTTCTAGCGCTAGTGTCAGTGGTTTGTTTTCTACCAGGGTTTGGTAAACACAACAACCCTGGCAATCTGCTGTTAGACAGCTACATGCACTAAATGGTTAAGGTCAAAGACTCGGCAGACACACTGCAGCCTGTGTGTTACAGTCTTGCTACAGGGGTGACACTCCCACACAAATATTGACTCAAGGTTCAAACACCAAGTATTGTAACAGTCAGTGGACTGGACTGTAGGCAGTAGAGACATGTCTGCCAGAGAGTGGGTGGGTGCATCTGTAATAAATGGACCGCTCAAGGCCTTTGGTTATTTCAGATATTGCAGAGGAATGAGAATTGATTTACCTCCAGCAGAAGAGAATTAGGGTGGAAGAGGAACCGCAGGAGCTGGTTGTATGTGTTTCAGACCAAGCTGAGCAGACTGTGTGAGCAGGACAAGGTGGTGTGTGTGTGTGTGTGTGTGTGTGACTCACTATGCTGCCGAGTCGTTGAGCTGGTACTCTCGTGAGCGGCTGAAGCAGGCCTGTACCCCTCTGTCCTTCCACAGGCGTTTGATGACCCCGGCCAGCTCTGCCGTCATGAAGCCTTCCTCTGCCGACCCTGCCAGCACAAACAGCTGTCTCGCATCATCCTGGGAGAGAGCAGTCTGTCAGTACAACCATCCCTATCAACACTATGATCACAATCATTACTGCCAGCACTACCATCACTACTATCATTGAAATCATCACCATTATCATCAAATCATCAATATCAGTTATACTGTCAAAATCATCCCTACCATCATCACCATCAATAGCATTAATAATACTGCCATGTCATCAATAGTATTGAACATGATCGGGTGTGTTAGGTGATAATAGTTTTAGTCAGAGGGCTTTGATAAATGCAATCCATTATCATTATCATCATCATCAACTCTAGCCCACTCACGGCTCTGGCTGCGTCTCCAAAGTCGATCTTGAGTCGTCCCATGGCTCTGATGATGGCGATGATGGACTGGATGGTGTTGCTGTAGACCACAGCCCTGTACTGTTTACACTCCTCCTCCGAGTAGCCTGCCTCGTGGATGATCCTGACACACAGGAAGAAGGACAACAACACAGTCAGTCACCATGAGGAACATGGAGCAACACAACACAGTCAGTCACCATGAGGAACATGGAGCAACACAACAACACTTTCTGTTTTTGAGAACATGTTATGTTCATTTTTATTAACATCAAATAATAAGACAGAAAAATACCAGACCAATAACCCCCACCCCATGGCAACCCTTCCCTCATAAAATGACAGGGGAAAAAATGAACATTGATAACAACAACACTATCCAGGTAACAATGTTTACACCATCTGAATTGAATGGGGCACTAGGACAATAACAATGACTCATTTCTGAGAACTGTCCCCACAGAAGGGCAAAAACAATGCTTTGTTTTGATTGTGTGGCATTTGGAAGAATGGAAGGAACAGAGACTCACTTCATCTGCTTGACTATTGTGCTCTTCCCCGACTCACCAGCACCTGAAAGAGAGAAACACATTTATCAAACCAGTCAAAGCCTATATTTAGCTAATTGCAATTATGCGATAAGAGTGATGTGTTCCGAATCTGCATTGGAATTTCAAGCCAACACTGACCATAATGTATATTTCCTGGTATGGGATTACACTGACAAACATACTGAGAAAGAAAAGGCAATTGTAAAGATCTACTCATTACAGGCCATTCTCCAACCCCTTTTGAAATGGACCATAGTGGAGAACACTGATCATTTCCCTTCCTCTGTTTCTGTATTGACGTCTCTGACCCACAGCGTCGCTCTGCAGCCGTTCGGTCGATACAGACCCTCCCCACGGCACATTTCAACGGCAGCACTTACAGAGCATTATGGAACTATCTACTGCAGCGGAACCAACGACCCATCCCAGGCAGCATCGCAAGACTCACTGAATGAACAGCACCATAGCAAAGCACCGTAGACATTTAGAAAGTGCAGAGTGATGTGTGTGAGTGTGTTGGGATGGGAGTAGAGTGAAGGGACAGAGGTGAATACATTGTGGCCCTCAGTATTATTGCAAAGGCCAAATCACAGGCAGTACAGTCCTCATCATCTTCATTAACAGCCATGAAGCATGCAGCCTGCAGTAGTCCCCAGCAACCACTAACACACTATCAACACAACGCTGCTATCAACCAGTCAATATCTGGTCATTGGGTCTTTGTACATTAATGAGTTAGTTTGTCAGCTCTGATATACCACCAGAAAAACAACGATCACCAGTTCTAACCAGGGTTTGCCATAAAGGGCCTCTGAGCACATATTGTGTTACTTCAAGATGGTACAAGCCCTCTATATTGAATTACACATTACTGACCGATAGGCTGTGTAAAACTCTCACACATGAGGACAAGAGCCGGGAGGGTGGACACTACGCTAGCAGCCAATGAGTGTGAGGCGGAGAGGTGATTGACATGGCACTACTCCTATGAGAGAGGCAGGGAACACAGAACAATCATTGCTTGGGCCTAGCTGCTGCTAGGGGCTCCGTGCCTCCATCACACACGTCACACTGCCATGGCAACCGGGTCCGTTACCAAAGACATCTCAGCGTTCGCCACACGGTCACCTGAGGAGGGTTGGTGGCAATTGTGTAGTGATGGCTCATCTCCATAGCCAGGGCATGTATTATTGATATGCAAATGTCCCCATAATGCAATGTCCCCATAATGAACGCAATGTCCCCACAACGCACGCAATGTCCCCACAACGCACGCAATGTTCCCACATAATACATAAGTAGAGGATGTGTCATGGTGATTGACTAAGCCAGGCCCCTCCTCCTTGAAGTAAAACCCAAAGGTGGACGTTTCCACTCAGGGACAGTCAGACCACTGAGAAATATGAGTTGTCCCTGTAAACAAACTCATGTTCTTTTCACTTGTTTTGTGGGCTTGCTAAGACCCTTCCCACAGGGGTTGCTCAGCTCGGACAACTAAACTTCTAATTACAAAGTAATACTAATGACTAAAGTATAGACTGTGACATGGCTACAGTTTCCCTTTTTTTGACTGTGTTTATGTCGTTTTTGTTAATGTACAAGTGGAATAAGAAAGTCCCAATTTGTTGTGTAATTACAAACACCATTGCTATGCAATAAAATACAATTACCAAAATATTATATAACATTTTAATACAATGTTGTTGTTACTAGTGTGATTAAAGTCTGCACTAACACCCATCTGAGTTGGAAGGAGGAAGCTAGTTCTGTAACACCCAATCTTCCCATCTCACAAGACCCAGCTAGTATTGCATTACAGCAAGACAATGAGCACATGCACGCCACACACTACGTCAGGGCTTCTCGCTGTGGCAAGTGAAATTTAGGGGCCTGGAACTTTCCCTAAAGCAGAAGAGAACCTGAAACCAACATGTAGAAGCGAATTCCTGTGGACAAGCCTTTCTCCAGAGCCTTAAAGCATGCTGATACAGTGTGTGTGTGTTTTAACAGTGTGCAAGCCAGGCAGATACCTCCTACTGTTCAGCCTAATTGGAATGGCTTTCACCGGAGGACAAATTGTTTTAATTACATGTCACCGCTGTGGCCACGGCCCCAGAGAGGAGAGGACTAACACATCTCATTGCTCTGGAGCCAAACAGTCCCAGTCCCACTAAGAACCCCAGAGGGGCTGCGAGACAGCAGACACGTAACACTGTAACACACACACAAAAACACATGTGCGTGCACACACAAACCCATACACAGACACACAGTATTGGCAGCAGGTAAAGTCACCTCCCTCCTTCTGCTAAGGGCCTCCGTGCCAAGGCAGCGACATGACACAGCACTCCACTCCCTACCACACACTGGCTTCCTGCCTCTCAATCTAGAAGAAATATACCCTCCTTACAGACAGACCGTTGTGTGTTCACTCAGCCCTCCATCTAGATATGTTTTACTGTCTAACTGACACACTTTTCAATATGGAACACAAAACCCTGCATAGGGTCAACAAAATGTATGCTTGCAAGTCATAGTAAGATATTATTGGATGATATCGCCAAGGTACTGTTCCCTTACTACATTTCTTTAAGTCAGTCCAGACTGGAGAGTTTGTTTGCCTAACTGACCTTACTCTGTCCTTCAACTCTAGTGATGTCATAGGGGTGTGGTCCCACCCCAGTAACTTTATAAAGTCTAACCTCTGCTCTGAGAGAATGGCCCTGATTTGACACACATGGGCCAATAGAGAAAGCAAAGCCAGAAAAGTGGACCTCATGGCCTGGGCTAGACAGAGTCACGTTACCCACCCACAATTTGATACACCCATCAAAGAGCCAGACCAAAACCACAGTGAGGCAGCTGCTTTCTGGTTTCGGGCGGTTGGGAAATGACTGTATTTTAAGAAAAATGGTAGAGGCCTGCAAACATAATGGACGTTTATAGAACAGTACTTCTAAAGCCCACCAACCATCCAACCCATCTCTCCCAGAACTTCCCCAAAGGTGGTTTTCCACAGAGAGTAAAATAGGACATGGATGGAATGCATGTCGACAATGAGGAAACGCTTTACAAAGTGCTGTGGTAGGATTGGCTACAATCAAGTCTTCATTCCAAATTACAGCTCTGTTATATTTTAATCTTAATGATGATTTAGTTGGAGCTTTTATATAATACCAGGGTGGGGAGAATAGCTTTTGGAGTTCCTCCCTCTCTCAGAGCCCAGTCTCTCCGCCTGTCATGTTGAGGATCTAATGAGCCAAGGGGTTATCTGTCTGGGTCACCAGAAGAACCAGGGCCTGTCCTGCCTGGGATTCAGTTAGGCTGGCCAGGGCATACAGTCCTCTGGCCAGGCTGGGCTGTCCTGGTAAGCAGGGAGCGAGGGACAGGGGGACAGGGCTGAGAGGGACAGGGGGACAGGGCTGGCTCACTCTCCATGAACCACATTAGTGACGCCACATTAGAGCATGAGCTGGCACCATCCCTCTCTTTTCCTCTCGTTCCCACTGGGAGCTGTTGAGCCTGTGAGTGACTCACAAGGGAACCCAGGAAGTTACAGTAGCATTACCCATCAGGAAGTCATGTAGTTAAATCAGCTGGATTCATCTGCCCACATCCAGATCAATGGATAATAGTGTTCCCTCAAAATCTCCATGCAGGCCGATACTTTCCTGGAAGATACCAGTAACAGTAGTAGGTGTAATGGGACGGTGCTGGAGAAGTGGAAGCTACTGAATTCCTCATAAGTCAGTAGCACTTTAGTTTACAGTAGACCTACATAGATCACCAGATGTGAGAAATGACATGGTAAAATAGCAACTACAGTGATAACCTAGGTATTGCTTGTTTGTTGATTTGAGAGTTATTACTATAAATTTGGTACCAGGTATTTACCATTTGTGTTAAACTATTTGAAGTAAGTACAAGAAAGACCCTTACACAATGTCCTATCAAACATCAGGGAAATACAAGTGGAAGCATTAGTACCGTAAAATAAAGTACTACCCATAATGCTTACATAAAATGTTGCATAGACCACCTACAGAATCCTCGACACCAATGTGGTTGGCTCTAGTAGACCTACTATAGACAAGACAAGATGTTGCTTGTACAGACTTGACAGCATACACCCAGAAATATTCAAAGCACTCCTCATGCAAATTAATGAAACAACAATTGTTTTATGTTTATGTGTGTGCGTGCTACAGTATGCCACCACCCATCAAGCTCACAGCACAGACATGGACAGGGTCATCCCGTCAACTCCACCCAATGTAAAACATGGATGTTTGACGGTTGGTGTCCTTGAAGTGATTAATAGTCAATATTCACCACCATTTCTGAGGTGCTGTCTGTACTGATGTATACATCATCAGCGTCACTGATATGGTTGTGACCTCTTGACCAGGCTGTAATTCAACAAAGTATGTTTTAGTGGGGCGGCTAGGAGGCAGATTTGAGAGGAATTGAGACTTTTGTGATAGAAGTATAGTCATTGAAAAGACTAATAGGTAAACAAACAGCAACCAATCATCTTACTCCTCTCCATGAGTACACCTTCTCAATTTATAATGTTGTTAGGGTTTAGACCTGATCTAGAACATTCCTTCCTCCTGCCCCTAGCTCCCCTATTAGCATGGCTGTCATCTGACGAGGCTAGGTGTGTTACCTGGTTACCAACCTGAATGGCTGACACAGGAAACAGGTCAGGGTCCCAATGCGTAAACAAGTTTAAATGTCACGCGCACAAGTACAGTGAAATGCTTTTCTTGCAAGCTCTAACATGCGGCCCACACTGCTCACGTTGCAAAATAAATGTTACTCAATCATTTCATCTAAATTGCTTGCGCGTGCCAACAAGCATCTGCATAGGCAGGCGCTAAAATAGAACTTGGTTCTATTATGACGCGCTGCAAGTCCCACCTCATCATTGGTTTTTAGGAGCATATACCCACGTGGGTGATTGAAAGATGAACTGCGGCCCACACTCCAGTCCAGTTAGTGGTGGTAATGCACCTTAAA